GCCATCTCTCGGGCGTCGGTGGAGTGTCCGACGTCCTCGAAGCTCTCCGTGGCGTTTCCTCCCGCCTGCTCCCTCAGCACCTCCTCTCCTCCGGGGTGCTGACACCACAGACACACACAGAGCCGTCAGTTCACCTCCTCACGCACACATTCACACTTTCAAACACACAATTTCTAACCAGCCACTCGTCAAAGTCGAGGCTAAACACAAATCCTCACATTGCTTTAGGTTCCAGTTGCGGTCGGCACGGTAACACGCTGTGACAGGCCCACGTGCACGCTCACAGTAACACCGATGCTGGTCGCCCTCATTAAACAGAGGCGTGCGCGTCCCTCTCTGCCAGATAAGCCGTCGCAGCGCTGAAGCTGCAGAGTTTCAGCTGCGTGGTGCAATCAGGTGTCAGGAGCTGCCCACGTGCAGGCTGGGGAAACATGGCCGACATGGCGTGCACACCGCAGCTCGCCTCTGTCGGGCGGCTTACAGGACCAGATCTGATGACACGCTGCAAACCTCTCTACACACGAGTTATGTTTGGGACCAGATATCGACATAGACTGAGACTCGCCCGCGGTCTGTGATTGGACCGTCCTGCCCATCGCCTCTTTGTCTTTACCTGCGTCTCATCAATGAATGATTCACAGGCTCGCTCTGACCTGCAGTGAACCACGGCACCCGGCTCACCTCTGCACAGCTGCTATAAAACAGCTGGATGCAGAAATCGCTGCTGAGCACGTCTTTGCACTCTGAGAGGCCTCGATCTGTTCGCTGTTGGCCAACACACCCTGAACTCTGTACAAGGAGACGCCATTCATTCAGATAAGCTGTGAGCAGGGAGGAGCCGAGCGGCCGAAGGCCCAGGCTGTTAGTCATAACCAAGCAGGGCAGGTTTATTTGTGTAGCACACGTTCAGCACAAGTCAAAGTGCTTTATGTGATTAAAGTGATAGTTAAGTTACTCATAAGCAAGTCTAAATAAGTAAGTTTGAATTTTAGACTTAAAGAGTTCAGTGTCTCTGCAGCTGTGCATCTCCTGATGTTCCAGATGTGAGGAGCATAGAAACTCAAAGCTGCTTCTGATCTGATGGTTTGTACCATGACTGCAGATCCCTAATAAACTCTGGTGCTAACCCATTCAAAGATTTATAAACTAATAACAGCACTTTAAAGTCTATTCTGTGAGCTACAGGGAGCCAGTGTAATGACTTCAGAACTGGAGTAATGTGCTCTATTTTCTTGGTTCTAGTGAGAACACGAGCAGCAGCGTACTGGATCAGCTGCAGTTGTCTGTTACAGTGATCAAGGAGATAAATGCATGGATGAGTTTCTCTGGGTGACGTGTCATCAGTCCTTTAACCCTACAAATGTTCCTCAGGTGACAGAAGGCTGACTTTGTTCTTACTTCTATGTGACCTGAGGTTCAGCTCTCATTATCACACCTAAAGTTCTGGCCTGGTCGCTAGTTTCTAGTTGGACCAGTTTGAGCCGATTACTGATATTTAGTTGATCTTTTTTGGGTCCAAAGAGAAGTACTTCAGTTTTGTAGCAGGCATTAGAGTGCACATTAGAGTGCACATCTGGGTCTTGTATTAAATGTTTCCCTGTATTTGTCTGACAGGTTTAATTACAGTTTAAGATTTTCTTCACACAAAACCAAAAACAATATTCATATTAATTTTAACAGTTTATAACAGTTGAAGCCATTACTCATCCCTCTAATTACCCAGGGATGAGTAAGGAGGCCTGCCGCAATTGCAGCTCTTTTATAGGCCGGTCTGTATAGAGAAGGCGTGGTCTTTAGAGTATTCAAAGGGAGCAGGAAATGGATTGGGGGCCATTTTGAGAAGTTGCTGTCTGTATGTGCATGATGTTGGCAAGAGACAATAAAACAATTACTTCAGTTTAGAGTGAAGTCTGATGTTTCCCTCGCCGCGCCTCTCTGCGTAACACTGTGACGCTCTCACTAATCTGACCTTTGTAAAGACATTTGCTAATCAGACTTCTAACCACAGTCCATGAAATAATGACACAATACTCACAGATTAGTCCTTAATGATTAGCAGCAGTTAGCTTTGTTACAGTAAAACTTTAAATTGTATAAATTATTGGACTTTTGCAGTATTTAAAACCAGATCCTGAGGATACGAAGCCGCCTTTGTTCTAGTCACCAGCATGGACTAGCGCTAGCTAACGAAGCCTCCTTTGTTCTAGTCACCAGCATGGACTAGCGCTAGCTAACGTTAGCTTAGAGTCTGCTAATCGCTAACATCAATAAACGGAGGAAACTCCCCATAAAAATAAAAAATAAATGACTTCAGGGGAGATTTTTTTTTAATAAGAGAGGAAACACACTCGGGTTAGCTAACTGGCTGTTAGGGTTTGGATGTTAGCCACTTTTGGGCTTTTTATTGATCATCAGAACAAAGCGTGAGCAGGCTTTCTCTGGCTGATGATTGTTTTGGTTGTGAGCCGATTGTCACATTTGCCCGTAGCTTGCATGGAAGACACTGACTTCTCTGCTAACACTGGCTAACTACTCGCTGAGCGGTACTGAAACCTGAAACTGTGACACAAACGGGAAATCGAGAACGTTTACTGTCAAAGTAAAAGCTCCACCGCAGTGCTGCGGCCGCCATGTTTCAAAGGGTTTGTTTGTCATGTTTCCAGATGCAGCGTCTATTACACTACAGGTGACACAGCAGTCTGCAAGCCTAGCGACCAAAGAAATCACAAGTAAGTGGTTGGTGAATACATTTTTCCCCTAGCAACCAGTAGTTTCCAGGCAGTCAATGTCTGGCCTTCAGGTCTGCCAGCACCCTCTGGCCAACCAGTTGGAGAATAATCATTTTCTCCCAGTGACCTGAGGTTGGCAAATGGTTGCAAACTGGTCCCCAGACCTTTAGTCTCTACACTGTTACATGTCCAAATCATTAACATCATGTGACTAGCTGTCATGTGACCACAAAACCACAAAAACTTCCTGCTGTTCATCTTTAATTGAACAATTCCACACGTATGCTGACGACTCCAGGATTAAATTAACAATGAAAACACATCTGGTTTAGATCTGAAGTGAGTCAGAGCCAATTATCTCTCTTTGTGTAGTCACATGTTATAAACCCTGCCCCCCC